ACCCTCCCCTACCCAGGCCTGATCAGCCCAATACCCACCCCATGGTAACCCGGTCCAAAGTCGGCATATCCAAACCCAAACACATCCTCAACCTTAACTCCATGGCCCAAATTTCCCCCCTTCCACCCACCTACCGTAGTGCACTTAAGGATCAAAACTGGTACAATGCTATGTGTGATGAATTTAATGCTTTGATTAAAAATGAAACATGGGAATTAGTGCCTCCTTCCCCCACCCAAAACATTATCACTGGTAAGTGGCTCTTTCGCCACAAATTTGGCCCTACAGGTGAACTGTCTAGGTACAAAGCTCGGTGGGTGGTCCGTGGATTTAATCAGCGCTTCGGAATCGACTACGATGAGACTTTCAGCCCAGTTGTCAAACCGGCTACGGTACGCATTGTTCTCACTCTTGCACTTAGCAGGGGGTGGCCCATCCATCAGCTCGATGTCAAGAATGCTTTCTTGAATGGCACACTCCACGAGACTGTTTATGCCAGCCAGCCCTCTGGTTTCCAGGATCCAGCTCGGCCGAATTATGTTTGCAGGTTAAAGAAGGCCCTTTATGGCCTTAAACAAGCCCCACGCTCCTGGTACCAGCGATTTGCAGGCTTCCTTCTCACTTTGGGGTTCCGAGGATGCAAGAGCGACACATCTCTTTTCGTCTACTCTCGGGGACCTGACATGGCCTATCTTCTCCTTTATGTGGACGACATTGTGCTCACGGCCTCCTCCACCACTCTCCTCACATGCCTCACTCAGAAACTTAAGGGGGAGTTCGCCATGACAGATATGGGGGAGCTAAATTTTTTCCTTGGCATTGGGGTCCAGCGCACGGCCGGGGGTCTCTTCCTACATCAGACACAGTTTGCTCACGAGATCCTTGAGCGGGCCGACATGCTTCACTGCAAGCCTATCTCCACCCCGGTCGACACCAAGGCAAAGTTGTCTGCTACGTCCGGCACACCTCTCCCAGACCCCACTATCTACAGATCTATTGTTGGTGCCCTACAGTATCTGACCTTTACACGTCCTGATCTCACGTATGCTGTACAACAGCTTTGCCTTCATCTTCATGCACCACGCAGCTCCCATCTCACGGCTATGAAGCGAGTTCTACGCTACATTCATGGCACGGCTACCCATGGCATCACTCTTCACCGCACCGGCACAGACTCCTTACAGGCCTATTCAGATGCAGATTGGGCAGGCTGCCCTGACACCCGCCGCTCCACTTCCGGGTATTGTGTTTTTCTTGGAGACAACCTCATTTCTTGGTCCTCCAAGAGACAGGCCACCACTTCCCGCTCTAGTGCTGAGGCAGAGTACCGCGCCGTGGCAAATGCGGTAGCAGAGACTAGCTGGGTCCGAAATCTTCTCCTTGAGCTTCATCAACCTCTCCGACGAGCCACTTTGGTGTTCTGTGACAATGTCAGTGCTGTTTACCTCTCGTCTAATCCCGTTCAGCACCAGCGGACAAAGCATGTTGAGGTTGACATTCACTTTGTTAGAGATAAAGTTGCCCTTGGTCATGTTCGGGTCCTGCATGTTCCCTCCTCCTCTCAGTATGCTGATATCTTTACCAAAGGGCTCCCATCTCTCCTATTCTCTGACTTTAGACACAGCCTTGGCATTCGACCATCTCCGGTCACGTAGTTGGGTGCATGTTAAATATATATTATGTATATATTTAGTATTAATTGTGTAATCATTGTATACATGGTAGTTTCCTTGTATAGGTTTCCTTCCGTAGTTAGGATTCCCATGTATTATATATACGAGGCTTAGCCCTCCGTTATTTGATATAGAAAATAATATTTCTTCAGTGCGTAAGTTGCTAGTGCAAGTACTAAGATGCATGCGTCTTAGATCGCTCCAGGGGTGGATCCAAATATTGGATGCCCTAGTCAGATTGACCTTCTTGTGCAAGGAAAAAAGTAATTTTAAAAAGGATGACACACTATCCTTGAGGGTCTCTCTAGCCTTATTCGAACAATATTCCTTAGAGGAAGTAAATCAAATACTGATTTCAATCTTATAGAGAAAAAAAAGAAATTTTAAGTTCATATATAATAATGGGACTCCCTTGTTCTAAAAGGTGATATCAACGAGAGCCCATTTCTCGTTCAAACGATCCACGACATGCTTATCCATAATGATAAGCGAGCGTCAACAAATTAAAATAACGAAGAGACACAAAAGATTACAAGACGAAAAGGAATCCCTAATGCTATAGGAAATGAAAGGAAATGAAAGTGGCCCCAATTGAACCTGGTGACTCACTGACTCTTCTAAATAGAAGGTTCTGGTACGGTGATTATTTGTAGTGGAAGTAGTAATTACTATCGATGTTTTTAATATATATATTAACAAATACACCATATTATTATTGTAATAGAGTTCTTAGTGTTAAGAAATACCAGAGCCACATATACTTTAGTCACAAACTATACAAAATTGTCAATTATACATTAAAGATTTTTATTTTTTAATTATTTGAAATATTTTATTCACTTAATTAGTTTAATGCACAAATGACGAGCTTGTATGGTCTCGATCTGATCAAGATACTCGTGAGTTGTGTCCCTAGTAAGGAGTGTACCTTTTTTCTTTCTTTATAAATTCTTGAAGGAAACGTAGTGTAGTGGCCAGGGTAAATTTCACAAATGGTACCTGAACTTTAGCTGGAATTTCGAAGTGGTACCTGAACTTCAAATCCTTTCACAAAAATCCCTAAACTTACACAATCCTTTCACTAATGAGCCATTAGCCCGTTTCTAGGTTAACTTCCGGTCATTAGGGCAAAATTCGAATTTTATATATTTTAAAATTTTCAATTTGACCCCATTTCTTCTTTTATTTTCTTCCACGCCCCGCCGCCCGCCGGTCAAAGTCGCCGGAAAATGAACTTTTTCCGCTTCCGGCGGAACCAATGTCATTCTCTTCGTCTTGAGACGAGGATCAATAATATCCAAACCATTTTGTCTAATTTGGCCTGTAACTTCTCGAATCTGAATTTTTCTACTCGAAAAAACCCTAAAATTCGAAATTGGATCCAAAATTGGGGTTTTGCAAATCTTCATCAAATCTTGCAATTGAGGGGTCCTTGGAGGTCGCCCGGATGCCACGACCGCATTGG